TGGTTGTTAATGGCGGCGGCGGCGGCAGCGGCAACGGGCTCTGCTAGGGTTTTGTTGGATGACGATTCCCGACAGTGATTTCCTTGTTTTCTCACTTCCTCGCAGTTTTCTCGACGACGCTCGCTCGTAGACTTTTTGTCATCGACGCTTGCTCGCGTCGTCTAAGTGATAGACGACGACGCCTCGTGTTGTCGCTGCTTGCGTCGTGCACGACGACACCTCCTTCGCAGTTGTCTCCTTCCAAATGACGCGACTTCGTCATTCCTTCCATACGACACGACTTCGCTATTCCTTCCAGACGAAGTCCTCATTAGTCGACGACACTTCCTTCGCAGTCGTCTCCTTCCAGACGACGTCGATTTCGCTATTCCAGACGACAGTTGCTTTCCTGCCCGACAAACACCATCTTGTCGGCAGAGATGACATCGACTACCGGTTCCTATGCCACTGCACTTGCCAACGGTGTCTCTACTCTCTTTCAGAGACTGGTTTTCATATAGGTAAGTCTTGCAATGTTCCACAATCTTTTCACGAGGCTCTTGAAGATGGCGGTGATCACACCTTCATTAAAAAACTTGGAAAAAAAATGGTAAGCTTATTCTTATTCTCACAAAAGTTGAAATCAGTGCTCTCGCATCTTCTTGACATTTTGCTCTAGTGAAAAATCTCTTTATGGTCACCCAAGACTTGAGATCATTCAAAAAGAATTTGATGTTGTGAAGTTGTTGGGCAATTTGAATATTGGTTTATTTGATGGTCGACACATAGTGATTCAGTTATCTGACGATGTCGATTACACTTGCATTTTTTCACGGAAAGTTATCAAGAACGACAACCGTTATATGAAAATTCTGAAGTGGACTGTTGATTTTGATCCAAAAGCGGAGACCTTTATCATTCCTATTTGGATAAAGTTTCCAGGGTTAAAATTACACAATTCAACTTGGAAATTCTCTACTCCTTAGCAATTGCTTACGGTAAGTCTCTCAAGGTTGATAGTCCTACGCTTGCAGTCACCAGACCCTCTATGGCTTGTGTGTTGGTTAAGAGGGATATCACTCAACCAGCCCTGGATGAAGTATAGATTGGAACCACCCACAACGAGTATTGGCAAAAAATTGAAATCGAACCACACCCTCCTTATTGCTCTTATTGCAATATGTTTGGCCACAGTTCTACTATTTGCTATCGCTTGCATCCTCATCTAAGGTCGAATATCGCTAAAGATCAGTCACCTACCATCCCTGTTGAGAAGATGCAATCCGATCATCTTTCCAACACTGCAGTTCCTGACGAAGTATACCATACTACAACTACAGATCCAGTCGTGCTTATAACACCCACTGTTATTGAAGAGAGCTCACCTACATGCCAAGACACACGAGAGTGCTCCTTTGACCCAATACAATATCAGCTGGTACAACATGTAATTGCTTCTAATGTTCAACAACCTACACATGTCTGACACACTTTAAACCAATCCACTAATCAGGTGAGTCAATCTTCGGATGAGGAATGACAGGTCTATTCTAGGAGAAAGAAGAAGAATGGAGGCTGACTCGGGAACTTATTGGATGATACATTGGTTACTAATGGCAGTGACACTCATCTTACCAATTTATTAGCTGACTTCTTCCCTAGAACTAGAGATAGAGGCAAGGCTAAATTGGGTCGCTCTCTAGCCACCTGATACTATGTACTTCAACAATTTTAGGCTTTTTCTTTAAGTCTCTCATGTACTTTTCTGTATTTTCTAGTTTTGGAACCAATTGTGATTATTGTGTGGGCAGGGTGCCATGCTTGGGCCCTCCCACACATTGTATCTGTATCTTTCTGTCTATTTAATATATTAGCCTTTGGGCTTTTATATATATATATATATATAATTAGATTACAAAAAATAAAGCAACAGGTTATACACCATTGAAAAATGGAATTTAGGAGTTTATGTAGAATTCCATTGTATATTTAGTAGCCCATCACGTGAAAAAATCGAAAAAAACCAATAGAAGTGTCTCATTTTAAATTTCCTTGGAATCTTTTGAATATAGTGAGTTGGAAGCAAACGGTAAATATTGGAGCTTACTGTGCTTGTGTTATATTCAACGTTGTCTCCACTGCCAATCCGTGTAAACATGCGATCAACTACCCTTATGGATGCAAAACGAGCAGGAACATAGCAACCAATTTGTGCAAGAATGATCAGAAGACAAACTTGTTGAAGATAAGTACTTTTTCCACTCCTGAGCATGTGAAAGCAAAAAATGATATTGATTATTTAATTCCATAATACATATAGTTTTAAATTTTATATGCATAGAAAGAATAGAGGTTAAAACGAGAATCCGAAAGCATATATATGTATATTTACATGTTTGGACCCATGACTATCACCACATTTGACACTTCAGAAAGGAAAAGATTGTTAGGCTGCATATAAAAATTCTCTATCAATCGCAATAGGTTATGTTTGGAAAAAGGAATCAAATAAATATAGTGACTATGAGTGTGAAAGAAAAACGTAACTACAAAATCACTACGCAAGTTCTCTACGATAGGATGTTTGCCAGCATCAATTGCCATAGGCCCACTTGCTGCCAATCATTTTTAGTTATCAATTCGCAATGAATGCTCAATTTAACTCCTTCCAAAAAAAAAACAAAAAAAAAACTGAATATGTTTTGTCTACCAGTGAATTCTGGCCTTGAATAACATTCAGGAGGCTTGGTCGATATCATGTGTGCAAAAGAATTCACGATCATATCTAGAAGGCATATAATCTCTGCAAGCAATGTTAGTAAGGAAATATCCTCTCTTATTGCATCAATCAATCCTGCAAAATAGATTTTTAAATCAAGTCAGCATAGGATGCAGACCCATAGCTTGACCATATGACTACTAGATCCATCTAGATAAAAAATGTCTACACTTTCATGACTTTGTCCCACCAACAAAAAATGGAATAAATTACAAATGAATGCACCAAATTTACAACATCGAAATAGGAATTTAAAAACTTGACAAGGGTTCACCTAACATTGAGATTTCTAAGACAAATGATTCATCAGTAAGTCAGTTAAGTATCTCAAAGTAGTTTTTATGGATATACTCTGCAAGAAAAGCCTTATGTTGATAGTCTCTACTAATCAAGCTAGGCAGCAGCAAGTACATAAGCTATCTTTAACATGTAAAACAAGAGAAAAACGTCAAAATGATTCATGTACAATTTAACACGAGGGTTTTCCTCCAAAAGCTGAACTTGTTTGGCCCAAACCAGTTCTGTTTGGCGGGATATCACCCCCTTTTCTCGTCTATCTATCTCTTATTTATATGTGTGTTTGCTGTTTAGGTTGTCAGCTTATGCTAATTTTCTGACTTCAGTTTGTGAGGATAGACGCCGGCGTCCTATTTTCTCATTTAGAATTGTATCTGATGGTTAGGGTGGTGCTCCGGCTGTATCTCTCTCCCCGGTGATAATTATATTCTCCGACGTCCACCTCCAACCCTCTCCCTGCCATTCCCCCTGCTGCAGCCTCCTCTCCCTGCCTTTCCTCCCGCTGTAGTCCTCTCCAGTGACTCCCACCCCCTGCAGGCTATACCGTGACCTGCTCCCTGCAGCCATCCCACGCTACCCCTTTCCTTCCTAAACTGCAAGCCTATCCCAATCACCTGCTAGCTGGGCCGCAACTCCTTCATCAATTCCATTGCCGTAATTCCCCTAACTGCACTCCATCCAGGGCCCATTTTACCTGCGGTAACTCTCTCAGCTTTCCCCTGTATCGGGCCTCTAACCTGCCGCTGTTCCACTTCACTTCCAACCAGCAGCCCCTCCTCCCGTGACAGCCCCTCCCTTCCCATAACTCCTACCTCAGGCCACTAATCCCCCATCTAACAGCCCAACAGCAGGCTTCGCCCCTTTCTTCCCAATTCCTTCCTAACAGCCGGCCTTCCCTTTTTTCATTCCCCTCTACAGTCCAACAGCAGCCCCTTCCCCAATTCCTTCCTAACAACAGTCCAAGTTCAACGGCCCAACAGCAGCCTTCACCCTTTCCTATCCCCCACTCCAGTCCAACCTTACGCAGCCCAACCGCAGCTCTCCTCTTCTCTTCCCCACTGCAGTCTGAAACCGTACAGCCCCTCCTAACCTTCTTGCTGCCATCTCCCTCCACCCCCACATACAACTTCAACACCACCACCCCGATTCACACCCTAGCTTTGTGATTGTATCGTGTTTTCTTATGGCGAGTGTCGTTATTTGTAATCCCTTAAAACTCAACAATAATATTTTTGTTTCCATTATGGTTTGTGTTTCCTCTAGTGTCATTTAATATCAGAGCTACCCTAACCCTAGTCCTATCCTATGGTTTCCTAGCATCCACCATAAACCAAAACTTTCATTCTTACTACCAAATATCCTTTTTACAACCCAAACCCTAACCCCATAAGAATTTTTCTTTAATATTCCTAAACCTTAGTCATGCCACTAATGAGATATATGTCCGAGCCTATCCGTGAGGAGATAGGACGAGAGATCCGCCGACTTCGGTAGTGGATTACCGACATTGAATTGAAATCCATGGGAGGTTACCCTTGGCTATGATCCGAAAGGTCGAAGAGGGGAATGAGAAGATATGAAGACAAAGCAGGAACACAGCGTCAATTCCTACCAACCTACTACCACCAAAAGTTGCAGACACTAGGTTTCAGCGTGGAGAGATCGCAACAACAAGCGACCCACCTAGCTGCTGTCCAACGAAACTAATCCGCAAGTTTGTCACAGCTAGAAAATGTGACAAGTGCCACGAATTTGGACATGTAGAGGCAGAACACACAACAAAGGGTGTGATCTACTTCACCGAACAGGGCGTCTTCAAAAAGTTTGGTAAAGACACCACAGACACTGAAGAGAGTAAGGACATAAACGGGGAGTACTAGCTTCCAGTTGGAGAGATGAACGGTGATCGAAAAGAAGATGAAGAATAACGAGAAGATTCTCCACTTGCAGCTAGCAAAGAAGAGGCAAAACCAAATCCGGTTGACACCCAGATAGAGATTCCAATAGAGGTAACAGTCGTTGCTCTAGAAGGTAAAGACTCTGAGGTAATGGGCAGCCCAGCAGAGCATGAGATTATGGTGCCGCAAGCTAGCATCCAACAGACAGTGAGAGGAACATCAATAGAATTGACCTTGGATGTCTACAAGAGTTGTGAGTTTGATGAACCGACATCAGATATAGGTCCACCACGGATAAACGAGATGGAGATTTTTCAAATGTATAGACCTCCTCCATAATTTCCCAGACGGAGGGAGGTTAAGCATGCCAGAAATGAGGTCATTGTATGTCGTTTCAATAACATTACATGGAGATATTCAAAGGTTACTTTCAAATCAGTATAGGACACCTCGTCAGATGCCCAGACGGGAGAGAAGAACCCCAACTTTATAGTGAACCTAAGGAACTTGATGGAGATCAAAATTCAGCAATGGGATCCAGGTCCAATCTGTGGGGAGGAAGTCTCCCCCAAGGGGGTACCAGTAAGAGTGGTTCAACTTGTCACGGATTTCATCTCAGAATTGAGTTCTTCTCACATACTTATTATTCAATCACCGCACGCTAGACATGAGAAGTGGAAGGAGAAGATTTCAAATGTAAGGGCTCAAGAGTTGCATTGCGGGAATCCATCTCTATATGCAGCTCCCGCTTAAGATGCGTCAGATGAGGATGGCTACCTATTCTATCAAAATGTGTTGTGGAATGACTATGCCGGCATGATCGACCTACCAGAGGACTTACCACCATACATCTAAACTAGTTTGGCCCAAACCAGTTTAGTTGAGAGGGAAGGCTGAACCCCCCCCCCCCCCTCTTTTCATTTGGCGGGAAATTTCCCCTTTTTTCTTTCCTAGTTTCCAACTTATCTATCCCCTATGTAATTGTTATCTAGGTTTTCAACTTATGTTAATTTTTTTATTTCAGTTTGTGAGGACAGTCGCCGGCGTCCTATTGTCCCTTTAAGGGCTGTAACAGATGGTTAGGGTGGTGCTCCAACTGTATCCCTCTCCCTGGTTGTGATTATCTTCTCTGACGTCCACCTCCACCCGTCTCCCCGGATTTCCCCCTGCTGCAGTCCACTATCCCTGCCGTTGCTCCTGTTGCAGTCCTCCGCAAGCTTTACCGTGACCTTCTCCCCGCAGCCATCCTACGCTGCCCCTTTCCTTCCATTTCCTTCCAAACCTGCAAGCCTGTCCCAGCCGCCTGCTATCTGGGCCACAACTCTCCCATCAATTCCACTGCCGTGACTTACCCAGCTGCACTCCATCCAGAGCCATCTTACCTGTCGCAACTCTACCAGCTTTCCCTTGTATCGGGCCACTAGCCTGCTGCTGTTCCACTTCCCTTCCCACCAGCAGCCCCTACTCCAGTGACAGCCCCAGCCCCTCCATTCCTCCCGTGACAGCACACGACCCAAAACCTTTCCCGTGATAGCCCCTCCCTTTCCATAAATCCTACCTCAGGCTACTACTCCCCCATCTAACAGCCCAACAGCAGGCTTCACCCTTTCCTACCCTTCAATAGTCCAATCTGCAGCCCAACAGCCGGCCTTCCGTATTTCGAACCCCTCTACAGTCCAATCTATAGCCCAACAGCAGCCCTTCCCTAATTCCTTCCCCACAACCGTCCAACTCCAACGGCCCAACAGCAGCCTTCACCCCTTCCTATCCCCCCATGCAGCCCAACCCTATGCAGCCCAACCACAGCTCTCCCTCTTTTCTTCCCCACTGCAGTCTGAAACCGTACAGTCCCTCCTAACCTTCTTGCTGCCATCTCCCTACACCCCCACATACAACCGCAAAACCACCACCCAGATCCTCCCTAGCTTTGTGTTTGTATCATGTTTTCTTATGGCAAGTGTCATTGTTTGTAATCCCTTCAAATTCAGCAATAGCATTTATTTCTATTATGATTTGGGCTTCCTCCGGTATCACAATTTATGAGGGCTGTTTTGATAACAAACTATCTAATGCATCCTATAAAGTAACTTAAATCTTAAAGTATGATCCAAAATAGCCAATTTACTCCTCAAATATGATTGAAAATTATTCAATAGGACAATTTTAGAGCATTTTAAAAGAGACAAGAAACTAAATTGAACACGTAAGACAACTATAACTAAAACGACCTATAAAAATAGTCCAGAGATCCTTTTCAATTTTTTTCTCAAAAAAACAATACTTTCCCTGACAAAAAAAGACATACAATATATATGCTTGGCATGACAGCACATGAAAGTAATGGATTGTAATAAGCATGAGAAAAAAACAGTTGACACGAAATCATTAAAACCTTCCAAACACATCTCTGTCCGCATGAAACATTCAGCTGCTGCAGACTTGTTTCTTACGTTTAGCTGCAATTATCAACAATGCAGGATTTCTCAAGTTCACTGTAAACTAACTTTAAATATTGAAAGCTCCTTTTTGATATAACTGAAAATCTAAGCACATAAATAACGAACATTCATAACAGTGACCCATAAAAGGAAGACTAAAGCAACCAACATAGTTTCAAGACAAGAGTTTGAAAAGCGTTATTCAAAAATAAATTTGTGCAAGTCTAAAGAATACAACATTACTTAACCTATCAACAAAAAATTTCTTTTAATGAAGGACGATAATGTAGGATATTTATCAAAATTATAAAGCCAATTAAATTATCATTAAGTTTATCATCATCATCATCATAACTCTTAACTTAGATCCTACGGTCAACTTTGAGAATCCTTATCTCTACCCATCTCTACAAAGTGCTACATGAGGTCTTAAATATATTTTAAATACATTTTACTGCACAACTACAATCTATGTTACATCACATTCTTATTTTTCTCTTCATAATATCATAACCCCAACTAGCTCCCACCTTATGAGTCGAATGAGGTGCGACAAAGGCAGATTATTCGGTCAAATTAAATTCTCACCAACACTCGTCTTCACTTGCGAAATTGAGACCCAATAGATAATAAACTAGTCTAACTAAATCATCACAAACATGCATGATACATTTCATTTCATAATTCATTCACATTCACATGTACTTAAGAGCGTGGAGATCATATCATCCTAGCACCTTCGAGTTCAATGTTAGTTTAAAGTGTACATGCAATTGTTGAGTCAACGATTTGCTGCCGGGTACCTTCTATGAAACCAACTACTGGCCTCCTATTCTAAAGTATAGTGTGTAAGAGAAACAATAGCAGGTACAAGTATAATGACAGAATTTAAAAAGGAGCTAGCATGCATTGTATCAACAAAAGAACTACCACCTGGAAAACTCAAGAAAGAGCGACAAATGACCGACGATGGAAGACAACTCGAGAAAATCGTCAAATGACTCACAACGGAAATTTTGAAGCAACAACAACAAATGACGACTTCAAGAAAGTCATTGAAAACACGGGAGTATCCCGGAAAAAGGCCACGAGTGCTTTACCAAAAGTTCCAAGTAAAATCACACGAAAAATCCGAAGAGAGAAAACCGCAAGCACTCGGGTCGGGGCTAAACTTAGATATTATATATTTGTACTCAATGGACGTCGAAGACTACTGTCGGTCACCCGAATGTATAGAGTCCAACACTCAACTAGAAGGGTGTCCTACTAAACCTAACTTAGGAGGGTACTCCGTAGCCCGGTATTGGTAATCGACAAGTGGACAACCAAGTTACAATATATTTAAAATTTATATTTTAGCATGCACATGAATTTTAGGCATACAAAAGAAAGTTATATCAATTTTGTGGTAAAAAATGTTTTTATAAATATTGCATCTGTTCTTATCAGTTTTGAAAAGTATAATTGTCAATGAGTCGATCACGCCGTTGGGCGTACGATCGCCAACAATCTAAGAAGGTACGGGTCGCCAGGTAGTCTTGTGTCGGTGAATAATACTATCATCCTACAGTTTATCAGGTCCCAGGATTGAGTCCTGATGTCGTAGGATGAAATATCATCTGCTCTACCACCGGTGTGCCTTTGTCATCACCACCCTAAACCCCAAAACAAAATCGACCTACTTGCGACCTTGCTTGATGATTTCATGTATAGCAAAAGGCTATACATATGCACTTGTGTATCAAACATAAGCACCTAAAAACTCGAACCAAAAAGCAAAGAAAACGAACTAAAAAGCAAAAAAGGAAAGAGAAAGAAGACCAACCCACCTCCAAATTCAATTTAGAAAAGAGGGCCAAAACGGTAAGAGGGTTAATCTAAAACATCCAATTGACGGACTTTCTCGAACAAGGAAATATAGCACACTCCTTCAGGCTAGCCAAGAGACATCCCCAAAAGGCACAATCCAGAAAACCCCAAGCTATGCCCAAACATATATATTTTCTTATATCAAACGATCCTCCTCTTCTCTTTTTTCCTTCTTTTTTTTTTCTTTTTTCCTTCTTTTTTTTGTAATCAATTCGGCCCACAAGATTGGGCTCCAAAATACTTTCGAACATCTGACAAATTATTCATTGAAAGGGGCATTCAAATTTTTTCAAGTAACAAGTAATTAAAGTATTTCACCTTGCAAATATTAAAGCCACTCAATTCCACCTCAAACCAAGAGTTTCCAATGAAATGAAATGTGAACCCGACACCAGACAAGAAATCCATATAAATGCTTACGGCCAAGGGCAGCAAAGAGGGGTAAGACAGAGCCCTCAAAACAAGCCTGAAAAGCTTTAAAAGAGCCAAATTTCTTTTCAACAAGTGTTTCGAACAGGAAGGCAGCCATAAGAAGTAAAAAATCGAGAACCTAAAAGGAATCTCAAAAATCCTCCAAACCTAATTCCAACTGCACATGTATTCTAAACAGAAAAGGGCAGCAAAGGGGAGCAAGAACAAGCCTTCCAAACCAAATTCCACAAAACCTTAAAACCAAAATTCCCACTCATCATATGCTTTGGGCAGGGGCAACAACCATAGGGAGCTAAAAATCAAGCCCCAAACCAATTTTTAAATTATTTGGAATAGACCTCCACATGTATTTGAATGGGGGCAGGCAAGGGGAGCTAAAACCGAGCCTAACAAAAGGGCAAAAACATAGCCATATTTTAACCAAAACGAGCCTAACAGAGGGGGCCAAATATAGAACAATATTCCAAGTAAAACCCAACCCAAAAGAAGAACCGAACCAAGCCAAATTACAGGTGAAACCGAGCCTGATCTCATGCCAAACTGAGCCCTTCATCAAGCAAAACTGAAGCCAGTATAAGGTTCCAAAACCGAGCCCAGCATCAAGCCAAAAGCAAACCTAGCAAGGCTAAAACCGCAGCCAGAACAAGGTCTAAAACCCACAAGGTCCAAAACTGAGCCACAACAAGGCTAAAACCGCAGCCACCACAAGGCCAAAACCGAGCCACAACATGGTCCAAAATCAAGTCACAACATGGCCAAAACAGAGCCCAATAAATGGGTCGAAATAGAATTATAAAACTCACATCTCGTAATGCCTTAAGCCTCAAAAATTTCTTACACCCAGCATATGCTTCGAATAAGAATATGTAACAGGAAAACAAATAAGCATAAATGAGTTCCTAAAGCCAACTTGTCTCAGCATTAAATTAAAATGAATCATTAAAATGAATTCCATCATTTACTTGAACAAGAATATCAATAATGAAGAGTTTCAACATTTCATTTCTAGCATTTGTTCCAAATAAGCAAATATCATTGAAGAGCAACAACCTAAGCTTCCAAACTTCCATTTATAATGCATTTAAGATTTTTTACAAATAACCCATTCAAAAGACTTCAAATTTTACAAATAAACAACCAATGAATTTCAGATTTTGCAAAAAGAACACCCCATAACTTCAAATTTTCATGAATAGGCCACCCAAAATAAAATTTCTAAAAGCCTTGATGTTAGACCATCAGAGCGAACAAAACCACAACCCCGAAGTTTCAGATTTTACAAAAAGAAAGAAAAAAACACCCGACGGTTTCAGATTTTCACAAATCCGTTCCCGAAATTTTAATTCCAGATTTTTCATAAACAAAAGTTTTGAAGTTTTATATTTCCATAAACTCTATAACTTCCGAATGATATATAGCATGTAACGAGAGTTTCTTTGAACCAAATCGTCAAGCCATAAAACTCTAAATAATGAATAGCATGCAAGAATAAAACCGAATCAGCAAGCTACAAGGCATTTCATCAATGTATAACATGCAACTTAAGCAAATAAAGGCAACCACGGGGAGCCGAATCGAACCTCCAAAACATGCATATGTATATTTTTTTAACTTTAACAAAGGAGATAAATAAATATAGCCTCCTATACGCAGTTTGAACAGGAGAAAAACACGTGGCAGAGAAACAAAGCTAAGCTCTGAAACAAAAGTTTTAGCAACCCTCAACCATAAATATCATTACTTACACATGCTCCAAAATAAAATAAAAAAAAGTCACAGTAGAAAACGATACAAGGGTCTCCCAAGTGACTCCAGATTTTCACAAATCAACCACCCAAGTTTCAGTTTTTTTTTTTTTTAAATGAGGATTTGTATAAGGTGCATAAAGGAAGGATTCAAAGGCCTCACTACTAACTTTGATGCAAATGTGATGAATTAAATTTCCTTGCACCTTTTCAACAAACACCTAGCGTGCAACTATAAATACATCAACTTAGGATTAAAAACTTCATTTTTTTTTTACTCTCAATCATCCCAAAAAAGGCATCAGAAAGAATTTCAGCATGAAAAGAGACACCAAGTCAAATGGCTAAAGAAGAGAAAAAAAGGGAAGAGGTTATCACTTGACGTAGAGCACACAAGAAGAGTAAGAGAAGCCCTAGAAGCAATCCGACAACACCTCCCCCTTCTCCAGTAATTTCGGCTAACCTGAAACCTCCCCAAACGGGGCTTCTTATAGGCAAGAGGGAAAGGAGATGGGGAGTGATCTCCCCATCGCATGCGGCTCCAAGAACCGAGCGGAACAAGACGCTCCCCATGCGGGCGAGAGATTATTGCGTGCGGACACCGCATGCATCTCTGCATGCGGTGTC